ATAAACAGTCTTTCCCTCAACCAGACTTTTGATAAAAACTGGGAAGCAGACAGTTCAAAATTGTTGATCAGAAGGACTAGAGTTCCTATACTTTAAAAGTTAGCTGAGCAAATGGTAAAATGGCCATACTTGTGTGAAAACTGTGGGGCCCAACCACAACTTCAGACTGGGCAATACCACCAGGCAATACCACCATAGGAGAGAGCTGGAATTAGACAAAACAGGTCACTGTATGGCTCTGTTAGGTGTGCCTTTTATCTGTAATTATCTTTGAAAAATTGTCTTCTGTTTTGCTTTTGGGACAAATTCATCAACACTTAGGAGCCAAAGTAAATTCTGCTAGCCTGCCCTGGTAACGACAGAACCCACAAAGGTTTTCCAATGATCTGATACACCTTCAGTCCTGAGGCTCTGGCCTTCTTAACCTCCTACTCACTACATTGTTGACAGTCAAGTTGTTTTACCTATTCTCCATGCCCAAGGGGAAAAGGTGGCTATAAACACCCAGACATGATACCCAATACTTTAATAGAGTAAGAAAATCTCGAACACCTGCCATGCTGGTTCCTGCCTGAGATCTCTCTCCTCTACTCCTCTGTCTGACCTAGTTGGTAAAGCAAATCTAAAATAGCTCAACCATGAAAACAGAAATGCCTGTGCTTTTCACATGTGTGTGTGTATGTGTGTGTGTGCGTGTGTGTATGTGTGTGTGTTTTCCCCTCTGTAGTGTGATACAAATATGGTACTTGAAATGGTATCTTTTATAAGCCTGAAACAAATAATCGTACTTATGGGTACAACTGAAACCTCAACTCTGGATGATGAGGCCCCTCTGGTTTCCAAGCCCAGAGAGGTCCCAGTTGCGTAGGCTGTGACTTGATGTTGTCATAGGCAATAAGCAGGTACTATGTGAGTTATGTCAAGGATATTATTTTTTGAAAGAATTTCATATGGAAATGCTCATATTTCACACTCATCCATAAAAATCAGCTTATAGGAAACTACAAAACAAGTCATCAGTCACCCCAAATTCTCTACAGACAGCAGAGGTTTTGAATGGACACTCTTCAGGGTGCCTTTGTAATCACGTTTCCACTATGCCTATTTCCCATGTTACAACACTCAGCATGCATCATGGGTGGTGGTCTGCCTTCCTCACCAGACTGTGTGCACACACCATTAAGACAAGAATCATCTGCCATATTTAACCACTATATCCTTAGTACATTGCACAGGAGAATATTTCTTTCTGCTTTTCTTCTTTACTTGCCCTCACTTTTCTCAGACTGTTTTCAGCTCAACACCATAGTGACACCAACAGGGACATGGCTCAGTCCTTTCTCTTTATAAAGATCACAGAGATCCATGAGAAACTGAATGGAGAAGAATTAGGAGGTACACATCAGAGCTAGGCTGAGTCACATACTTGCAGTTACAAGGAACAAAAACCCACGACAGTGAACTTAAGCACAATGGGAATATCCAGTAGGAGAAGGAGTATCTCTTGAACTCAAAGGCAGAAGCAAAGGCGAGCTTCAGGGGTTAGGAGGATTTAGGAAGAAAACCTTCAACATCACTCAGGATTCTCTCCCTCTGGAGCCAAGTGGTCCTTCCTCCCTTGTTCACACTTCCTTTTAAGCAGATCAGCTTTCATTGTTTCTTTAAGCAAACAAATGTCTCATACCTCTAGGGGTTTGCATGTTCCTAGCTCAAGACACCAGACTAGGTTAAGACAAACATTTTCTACTCCAAATTCTAAATTCCTGGAAAAATCAGACTGGCTCAGGGGCAAAGAGCCTTAACCAGGCAAGTCTGGCTCCCTTCTATGGAAGACACGGAAGTTTCTCAGAAAAGATAGGGTGCAAGGACACCACTAAAGCAGCAGTTGTGTTTTTGATCATGATGTGTCTGCTCCTCATCTTTCTCTTGTCTACCACTCTCCCAAATTCACTGAGCCTTATCACACTCTGCCTTTCAGGCTCACTCCCTGCCATCAAACTTAGCCTTCACTATTCATTCTTTCTCATCTAAGGCCTTCTGTTTCCTTCCTTCCATTAAACTTCAAATACTTCTCAATGCTACACAACATTAGTATCCTACCCAGAACACAACAAATACAGTATTTAAAGGTATTTTAAAGGACAAATAAGCCATATGTTATATGCACAAGATATTTTACATTTTGTTCAGAATTTGGAATACCACTTATTGGATACCACTATAAACACACAATATGGTCATGTCTGCCTTGCGGTGTCCACATTATAGCCTCCAGATTCACTATGACCTTTTCACTTACTTTGTAACTGATACAAAATAACTGATAGTAAGGTTAATAGTGACTAACCTCTTAACAAAACATCTTTGAAAAGACTGCAAAACAATCTCCTGGAAATTAAAAGCTATTTCAGGTTTTCTAAACTGAATATTTCCTTATGCAATAAGATTCTGCCCTCTCTCAAGTTAACCTAAACTTAAATTCTTGCTCAGAGATCAGTGACTATCAGTTCTCTGAATGCATGATTCCTGGGAACATAAAAGCCAACTGCAGACCAACTGTGAAGAACATAGCCTTTCGTTCTTCTACCTCTCCATAGTGGTGGAACCATCCAACAATGAAAGGTTAGAGAAATCATCCAACCATATATATGTGCCTTGTTCATCTGCAAATCCTGGCACCTAGCTTGATGGCCTGTATGCAGTAAGTACACAGTAAATGTCTGATCAACTAGAATGTGTACTTCTACCTATGTATTTACAAATCAATGCTATATATGCATGAGGCTTTACATATGTTCATATAAACATATGTATATTGTCACAAGACAATTTTCTCAAACTTTAAAGTGCATTCAAATTAGCTAGGGATCTCATTAAAATGAAAATTCCAATTCAGAAGATCAGGGATGGAATCCAATATTTACATTTCTAGTAAGCTCGCAGGTGATCCTGATGTTGCTGGTCCATAGACTACATTTTAACAGCAAACTAATTCCTTTTTTACTCCCTTCAGTAGAACACCATAGACAAAATATGCAAATAATCATAGGGTCCTCTTTCTCAAAGATCATGTTCGGTCATTAGGAAAATTATAATAATGTTCTCAGGGCAACTCATCTTTATTATCAGATTCAAGTTTTCAATAAGTATTTAGTTATTGAGCACCTATGCTAGGTGTAGGAACTACAACAGTCTTTTAGTCATTCTAGCATGCAGCTTAATAAATTATGAAAATGCAACTCGAGGCTTCTCTGTAGTCTCAGGGACATTCAAATAAAGAGAACTTTGGAGAATGACACCAAAAATGTGTATGGATGTGTGTATGGGCAGGGAGTGGGTGAGCAACTGCTTAGGATCCTGAGTCTTCATAAGGTTCCTATTAATGTTTATCTCGAGAAGATTCCTGCTTACTGTCCCCAAGCCCTCCTCATTCCACCCAGGTCCCCCATTCCGCTGTCTTCAGTCATGGGGATGACAGGTCTCTGCCACTCCCAAGCCCTTCTCATTCCACCCAGGTCCACCTCTCCTCTGTCTTCAGTCATGGACTGACAGGTCTTTGGGGTCAATTTCAACTTTTTGGATTACAGACCTTCTCCGTTTCTTTCAGTGAGATACTGTGTCAAGTTTGATGAAAAAACAAGACCACAGATAAAACTGGTTCTTGCCACTTAAAATTCAGAGGGAAAAGATCAATCAGAGAATCTCCTTCTCTTTCCATTTACCTAAGACTCCCACCCCCGCCCACCACAGCCTGACAAGAAAAGTTCACCTAGGGCCTTTGCCATATAATGGCATCTGCTGCAAGCACACCATGTAAGCGGGGAACATAAGTACTCAAAAGTACAAGAAGTTTTCTTCTTCCGTAATGCAGGGTTGAGTGTTTGGTTCAGCTTTGTGGTTATCATACAAAATTCTAAAGACATATAAAACCTCAAGAGATAATTGAAAAGCCTCAGAAAATCATTACATCCTTCATAATTCACTTGTTCACAAACGGGCAAAACTGTTGTCTATGTTATTACAGTATTTTTTGCCAGAGGCATAAACTTAATCACATCTACAACTGAGCATGAATTTATTTTGGTTGTACATTGTGGCATGAACTTCTCAAACTGGAATACTTGTATCAAGGGAAGAGATGCACAATGCAGCAAGCCGGAGGGTACATGAGCCCAAACAACAAATTTGAGGGATTTTTCTAGGGCATCAATTTTAATTAAGATTTGAAGGAAGAGGAATAAGAGAACTGTTTATTAATATAACTGATAATGAATGTGAATAATTATTTTACACTAAAATAAACATAGAATAGGATGCCCAAACTGCATTAGTTTTAGTGATAAAACAGCAGACTAAAAAGAAATGTCCCATTTTGTGGAATTAGCTCTTCTCTCCCTGCAGGGGAACGTCTGCCAGTGTAAGTCTAAGAATCGATCATATCTTTTTTAAAGTGTATTTAAAAGATTCACTATTTACCAGTGCAAAGACATATTTCTCACATAAGATCTTGGAGAAACGAGGTTAACTTCTAATTAGAATGTTTGAATCCTAAGCAAATCCTTTTGAGAAATGAATGTTCAATGTTGAATGTCTTGATTTTGAATAAATAATATAACAATGCAGAACAAATTTACTTCACAAATGTAATCACTGGACAAAATGCTGAATTAAGAAAGTACTTTGCAAAAAAAAGTTAAACAAAAAATTAGAAAAGAGAGAGATTCTGCTGTAACCAGAAAGCCTGTGTGCTGAAGTCCTTCTTTCTTCCATTAATCTTATTCAGAAACTGAATATACAGTCAATTTCATACTGAGAACTTATTTATATACTGAGAGCTTTAGAAAATCCAAAATGATTTAATATCGTACTTTCCATTTTAATGATAACCCCAACCTTCAGGCTTCCTTACTCAAGAAGAAAATACAGAGAAGGGAATCTCCGAGGGAAGGGGAATTGGGGTTGATCTGTTTTTTTTTTAAGACAGAAATCCAGATACTTACAAGGCATGAGATGGTATATGCTTGGCCAATATTGTCCACTGTCTCTTTTTAACCATACACGAACTGTTCTGCAACAGAAGAAAATATGTGCTCAATCAAGTATTTTTACTCATAGGAAAACTTTGACAGACAGAAAGCAAATAGACTCTCATGTCTGTATCTAACATATCTTAACTATATACTATATATATATCTTAATCACACATATGTAATATACAGGCACACATATGCATGCATGCCACATATGTCTCTCTAAAGATCCCAAATTTAAGGCTTGTATACATTAAGAATTACATAAGATTCTTTAAGTATTATCCTCATATATGTCTATATACACACATGCAATATTGATAGTTTGAAAATTATTATTTTTGTTGTTGTTTTGTCTCTCCAAGTATATGACTTTAGCCCTAGTCTGCTGGAAGCATTCATCTGCTTGGGGAGCTATTAGGTTTTACTACTGAAGGAAATGCAAAGAGATAAAATGAAACAATATGCAGTATTTGATACATATAGAAGGATTAATAGTAAGTCCATAGTTTTACAGGCTAGGCCAGGCCACTGTCTCCAGAGATGCTTTTTCCAAGCATGGTCAGGCAACAGTAAGCCCTGTGAATCACATTTCCTGAGCTAATAGGCCGGCCATGAGGCCCGCCATGGAAGAGGCTATGAGCAACACTTTAGGCTGGCAGGCCAGATAGAGAGCTCAGAGAGGAGAGAGAGAAAGCAGTCAGGAAAGTACCACTAGATTCTGACCAGCCATAAATAAGATTGTTATAAATTCAGGATGTTAAAAATCTCCTTGGTAACTACTAAGAAAATAACTAAAAAATAAACAGCAGAGAAAATAAAGAAATCAAAATGGTACATAAGAAAAACTTCAAGCAAATATAAAAGAAGGAAATAGTGGGAAACCTGGGGAACAAAAGAGAAGTGACATACCAAAAAAAAAAAAAAAAAGCAAAATTGCAGAAGTCCTTCCTTATAAGTAATTACTTTAAATGTAAATAAAAAAACTCATAAATTAAGACAGGCAGAATAGATTTTAAAAACATGGTCCTACTTCATGCTGCTTAAAAGAGACTCACTTTAGACTCCCAAACACAAATAAGTTGAAAGTGAAAGAATGGAAAAAAGAAACATTTCACAGAAATAATAACCAACAGAAAATTGGAATAGAGATACTAATAACGCAAAGTTTTTTTTAATAAATTTTTATTTTTCAAAAACAGTTGGCATACAGTATTATATTAGTTTCAAGTCTACAACATAGTGATTAGACATTTATATACTTACAAGGTAATCCCCCCAATAAATTTAGTACCCATCTGACACCATACATAGTTATTACAATATTAATGGCTATATTCCTTATGCTATTTTGTAACTACTAATTTGTACTTCTTAATCCCTTCCCCTTTTACACCCACCCCGCTAAAACTGCTCCCATCTGGCAAACATCAAAATATTCTCTGTATGAGTTTGTTTCTGTTTGTATGTTCATTTATTTTGTTCTTTAGATTCCTCATGTAAGTGAAATCACATGGCATTTGTCTTTCTGTGTCATGACTTACTCCACTCAGCACAATACCCTTGAGATCCATCCATGTTGTTGCAGATGGCAAACTTCATTCTTTTGTGTGGCTGAGTAATCCATTGTGTATATATATGCACCACCTCTTCTTTACCCATTCATCCATTAATAGACACCCAAGTTGTCTCCATATCTTGGCTATTATAAATACTGCTGCTATGAACATATGGATTCACATGTCCCTTCAAAGTGGTGTTTTGGGTTGGTTTGGATAAATATCCAAAAGTGGAATTATTGAGTTGTTCTTTGTCTCTTGCTATAGCCTTTGTTTTAAAGTCTATTTTGTCTGGGATTAGTATTACTACTCCAGCTTCTTTGTTTATTTGTTTACATTTTTATGAAATGTCCCTTTCTACTCCTTTACTTTCAGACTGTGTGTATCTTAAGATCTGAAGTGAGTCTCTTGTAGGCAGCATGTGTAAGGGTTTTGTTTTCTTACCCATTTATTCTCCCCTCTTTTGACTAAAGCAATTAATCCATTTACATTTAAAGTAACTGTTGATAGATATAGTTATTGCCATTTTATCATACATATTTTTAATCTTTTTCTTCTTCTTAAAGAAATTCCTCTAATATTTCTTGTAATGTTGAGTTAGTTAGTGGTGATGAACTCCTTTAGCTTTTTCTTGTCTGGAAAGCTCTTTATCTGTCCTTTGATTCTAAATGATAGCTTTGCTAAGTAGAGTAATCTTGGTTGTATGTCCTTACTTTTCATCACTTGGAATATTTCATGCCAATCCCTTCTGGCCTGCAAAGTTTCTGTTGAGAAATCAGCTGACAAGTTTTATGGGAGCTCCCTTGTAGATAACTGCTTTCCTCTTGCTGCTTTTAAGAGTCTATATCTTTAATCTTCAGCATTTTACTGATGATGTGTCTTGGTGTGGGCCTCTTTGGACTCATCTTGACTGAGACTCTGAGCTTCCCAGACTTGTATGTCTATTTTCTTCACCAGGGTAGGGAAGTTTTCTGGCATTATTTCTTCAAATAGGTTTTCAATTCCTTGCTCTCTCTCCTCTCTTCCTGGTACCCCTTTGACATAAATGTTGATGTACTTGATGTTGTCCCAGAGGCCCCTTAAACTGTCCTCATTTTAAAATTTTTTTCTTTTCACTGTCCTTATTGGTTGTTTTCTGCTACCTTATCTTCCAAATTGCTGATAATATCCTCTGCTTCATCTAATCTACTGTTGATTATCTGTAATGTATTATTCATTTCAGTTATTGTACTCTTTATTTCTGATCGGTTCTTTTTTATGGTTTCTATCTCCATTTTTATGTTTCATATCTCTTTGTTGAAGTTCTCCCTGAGATCACTGAGCATCCTTATAACCAATGTTTTGAACTTTGCATCTGGGATTGCTTTTCTCTATTTTGTTTAGTTCTTTTTCTGGAGCTTTGTTCTGTTCTTTCATTAGGGACATGTTTCTTCGTCTCCCCATTTTGGCTACCTCTGTGTGTTTGTTTCTATTAGGTAGAGCTGCTATGTCTCTTGGTCTTGGTAGAGTGGTCTCATATAATAGGTGTCCTTTGAGACCTAGTAGCACAGTCTGTCTGGTCACCTAGCTCGGTGTTCCAGATGTATCCCTTGTGTAGGCTGTGTGTTCCCTCTTGTTATAGTTGAGCCTTGATTGCTGTTGACATGCCAATGGGAGGGACTGACTCTCAGGTTAATTGGTTGTGAGGACTGGACAGTGAGCGGTTGACTCTATGGAGAAAGATTTGCTTTAGCAGGGTCCTGGTGCCTGCCCAGTCTGCCCTTCGGGTGTATTGTCCTTGGATGCTGACCCAGATCGTGCTCTAGCTTGGTCTGAAGCTGGGCCCCAAGCGTACCAGCCCAGGCCCCTGTGGGAGCAACCTTGCCACAGGTCAACTTCAGCTGTAGCCCGTGCCTTTCCTGGGGCCACCTGGCAGAAGCCACTAAGCAATCCACAGATGGCCACTACCTAGACTGGGCTTAGAGGTGCCTAGAGAGGCCAAGCCATGAACCGAGGCCAGCTACTATTAATGCCAGGCTTGGGGCTGCTCAGCAAGAGGTACAGGGCATGCTGAGGCCAGATGCTGTTTGTCTACGTTTCGTGCACCTTTGAGAGATTTTAGGAAAGTCTGCAGCATGAGGCAAGATAGGCCATTTGTATGGAAAAGCCACCAAGTGGCTCGGGTGGGACCACAAAGTTGGGTGGTGCAGAGTCTGAGGGAATCACGAGGGCTGGGGAAACAGGTTAATGGGGACTCAGATATGGCAGCACCTGCATCTGCATCCCATGAAGCGGGAAGGCTCGATGAAGAAACAATGGCTTCTGTCAGCAGTTCTGTCTGGGAGAAAGCTGCCTCTCCAGCCTTCACCCTTACGCCAGACAATTCAGTTCATCCCCATATGTCCCTGGCACTTTTCAAGCTGCTGCTCCACCACTGGAGCTTAGCACAAGTGGGTCCATCAGCAAGTAAGTCAGTGTGCAGGCCCTTTAAGAGGAATTCCAGCCGCCCTCTGTTTCACTCGGTCACAACTTCTGCTGGTTTTCACAGCTAGAAGTTGTAGGGACTTCTTTTCCCAGAAGTGAAACCCTGGGCTGGGAAGCCTGGTATAGGGCTGGGACGCCGGTCCTCTGGGAGGACACCCATAGCTGAGATAGCCCTCTTGATTTTTAGCCATCACATCTGGGTGTGAGACCAGCCAATTCTGTGTCTCTGCTCCTCCTACCAGTCTTGAGGTGGCTTCTTCTGTACGGCCTTAGTTGTAAGACTTGTTCAGCTAGATTTAAGGCAGCTTTTAATGATGGTTGCTCTGTGGTTTAGCTGCAATTTTGATGTGGTCATGAGAGGAGGCTAGCAGAATGTTTACCTACTCTGTAATCTTGACTGGAAGTCCAAAGCATGTTTTTAAGTCAAAAATTGTTACAAGAGATAAAGGACACTACGCATTGACAAAAGAACCAATTCATCAAGAAGATAAAACAATTGTAAACATGTCACCAAATTACAGAGCTACAAAAGATATCAAATAAATTGACAGAATTGAAAGGCAAAATAGACAGTTCTTCAATAATTGGAGACTTCAATATATCACTTTCGATAATGAATACAGTATCTAGACATAAGATCAAAAAGGAAAGAGAATTTGAACAACACTATAAATCAACTAGACGTAACAGACACATAGAACACTCCACCCAATTAGAGCAGAACAATAAGAGCACACAGAACATTCTTCAGGATAGATTGTATGTTAGGCCATAAAACAATTCTCAATATATTTTAATATACTGAAATCATACAAGGTATCTTCTCCAACCACAAAGGAATGGAACACTAAAATCAATAGAGGAAAACTGGAAAAAATCACAAATATGTAGAAATTACACATTACCTTAAACAACAAATGGATCAAAGAAGAATATACTAGGAAAATTAGAAAATATGAGAAAATAAAAACACAACATACTAAAATTTGTAAGGGGCAGCAAAAGTAGTATTCAAA